GAGGCTGCAGGGTGGCCGGAGAGTCATTAACGACATGGTTTTTTTAGGGTTCCAAATGGTCTGAGACCGTCCAACAGACTCCATGCCATCAATTGGCTAAATCATGAGAGCGTCTCCTTCACCTAAATCAGGTATACCATCATCTCGGCGTCCATGTTGCATACAAATGACATCACAAGACACTTCCCTACGTTGCTATAACAACCAGATGTGCTTTAGGTTGTACTCGATTGTAATGGAAAAAAAGAGTCGTGCCACGTTGGGCCTGTCCCAGTAGGTACTATGGAAAAAAACCCCTAAAAACTGTGCAGAAAATCAGGATCCTGTTACCGTCTTTATGACTGGATTTATTACAAATGAATTAACCTTTATAATGTAAGCAGGTTGCCTGGAATTATTTTCTAGTTTCAGCTGTAAAATTATCATAAAATAATCTGTGAGTGTGTGGTTTTCTCCCTTGTTTATCACCAGCTCCAGGCCTGTGCTGAATACATGAAAGAATGGCGCCCCTCCAAATAAAGAACAAACAAAAACAAAGATAAAATCCATAAAACTACAGTAAAGAAAAGTGAAATCACAGGAAAGAACAGAGGACAAAAATCAGTACAAATACATAAAAAAATGCTTGCGCTTCATCCAGAATATTCCTGGCAATCTCAGAGTGGACTCTGTGGGAAAAGAAACATGCATTAAAACAAATGTTATATTTGAAGTCAGTGTAAAAAATAAAAAAATAAAAACCTAAAGAGCTGAAGTTCCCAGGTTTTTCTTGCTGATAAAACCCATTCATACTACCCTAAATTAACTAACAGAACAGGGGCTTTCATTTCAGTCTGTACAATCAGCCATTAAAACATTTTATATAATTTTCCATGTTGGTTTCTTACGGTTTACGAGTTGCTCTGATAAATGTCTCCCACTTACTACAGCAGGATGTTTTCTAACATGTAGGAAAACTGAAGAATATTATTGAAATGACACTTATTTTTTTCCTAAATGAAATCATCTCAGCTAAATGTGTAGTTAAACTTCACTGACAGACAGGACAGTTTCACTGGTTCGGACCACCTCGGATAAAAATGGGCTGTACGTCACCCTAATGAGTTTGATGTTCCTGCTTTACAGAGTAACAACCAGTGGAAAAGAAGCAGGATTTGTCAGATTCTGTACAAATCAGCTCCACACAGACAGATCTTCTGGCAGCTTATCTTTGTTTTTATTAAGTTAATTGTGTGAACACCCTCGTTTTGAACTCCACACACTAAAGTCACCACAGTTTAAATCCACTTTAACATTTGGCAGGTTAAGTGTTGAAGTCCCAAACCTTTATTTTATTTTTTTATTCACTTTTATTATTTTATACATTTTCCTTTGTTTATGAAGAGAAAAAAAGTTCAGTTTGATCTGATCTGCCTCAGGTTTAGTTTATTGTAATAGCCTGCCTTCACATTCATGATTCTGATCTCTGGTATTTGCAGATATTTAAAGATGAACTATTTCTAAGACCTGACTCACCTTTATGCAGAGGTCTGTAATCTGTAGGTCAGTACAAATTTTGTAAGTTATACATAAACTTAGATCAAATCAAAATCAAATCACTTTTATTGTCACATCACATGTGCAGGTACATTGGTACAGCACATGTGAGTGAAATTCTTGTGTGCGAGCTTCACAAGCAACAGAGTTGTGCAAAATACAATAATGTAAACAAGCAAAATACAAGAATGGCTACATCTGAAACTAATAAATATATGTACAATATATAATAGTATATGCATTTCTGGATGTGTATACTAAATATTTTTCTACGTGTGTGTGTGTGTGTGTGTGTGTGTACACATATTTTACAAATTAAATAGAGTAAACAATAAATAAAATATATAAAAATATACAGAGTTGAGACATGTGCAAAACAGTGGCATTACTGTACAGTATGGAGTGCATAATGTTAAAGTTCCAGTAGTGAAGCTGAGGTGTCTATGACGTGTTCAGCAGTCTGATGGCCTGGTGGAAGAAGCTGTCTCTCAGTCTGCTGGTACGGGACCGGATGCTGCAGAACCTCCTTCCTGATGGAAGTAGTCTGAACAGTTTATGGCTGGGGTGACTGGAGTCCTTGATGATCCTCCCCGCTTTCCTCAGGCACCGCTTCCTGTAGATGTCTTGGAGGGAGGGAAGCTCACCTCCAATTATCCGTTCAGAGCACCGCACTACTCGCTGGAGAGCTTTGCAGTTGTAGGCGGTGCTGTTGCCATACCAGGTGGTGATGCATCCAGTGAGGATGCTCTCAATGGCACAGTGATAGAAGGTCCTGAGGATGCGGGGGCTCATGCCGAATCTTTTCAGTCTCCTGAGAAAGAAGAGGCGCTGCTGCGCCTTCTTCACTGTTTTGTTTGTGTGTACTGACCACGTAAGATCCTCAGCCAGATGTACTCCAAGGAACCGGAAGCTGCTCACTCTCTCCACAGCAGCGCCGTTGATGGTGATGGGGGTGTGTACTTCTCTGCACCTCCGGAAGTCCACTATCAACTCCTTTGTCTTTGCGACGTTGAGGGTGAGATGGTTGTCTTGACACCAGTGGGTCAGGGCGCTGACCTCCTCCCTGTAAGCCGTCTCATCACCGTTGGTGATAAGACCCACCACTGTAGTGTCGTCCGCAAACTTCACAATGATGTTGGAGTTGTCAGTGGCTGTGCAGTCGTAGGTGTAGAGTGAGTACAGGAGAGGGCTCAGTACACACCCCTGTGGAGCACCAGTGTTCAGTGTGATGGGGGATGAGGTGATGCTGCCCAGTCTGACCACTTGGCGTCTGTCAGACAGGAAGCTAAGGATCCAGCTGCAGAGGGAGCTGCTCAGTCCTAGATCCTGCAGTTTCCTGTCCAGCTTCGAGGGAACGATGGTATTGAATGCTGAGCTGTAATCTACAAACAGCATTCTCACATACGTGTCTCTCTTCTCCAGGTGTGACAGGGCAGTGTGTAGTGTCAGGGCTATGGCATCATCAGTGGACCTGTTGTGGCGGTATGCGAACTGTAGAGGGTCCAGTGAGTCGGGTAGTGCAGAGCAGATGAAGTCCCTGACCAGCTTCTCGAAGCATTTGCTTACGATGGGGGTCAGGGCTACAGGTCGCCAGTCGTTCAATGAGGAGATGGTGGAGGATTTGGGTACAGGGACGACGGTGGCCATTTTGAAGCAGGCTGGGACTACAGACAGAGAGAGGGAAAGGTTGAAGATGTGTGTGAACACTCCAGCCAGCTGAGCCGCGCATGACTTGAGGACGCGGCCGGGAATCCCGTCCGGACCAGTAGCTTTGTCGCGTTCACCTTCCTTTTTTTTTTTTTTTTTTTTTTTTTTTTTGCCTGTCCCGTTTAGCAGGCTGGGACTACAGACAGAGAGAGGGAAAGGTTGAAGATGTGCGTGAACACTCCAGCCAGCTGAGCCGCGCATGACTTGAGGACGCGGCCGGGAATCCCGTCCGGACCAGTAGCTTTGCGTGCGTTCACCTTCCTGAAGCACTTCCGCACATCCTCCTCAGACACAGTGTGCGCACTGACGTCATCCGCGGTGCGCACACTGTCCGGTCTCATGGTGTTCGCTGTGTCGAATCTAGCGTAGAATACGTTTAGATCCTCACACAGAGAGGCCGTGGTCTGCGGTGTGCTGGTTTTCCCTCTAAAGTCTGCGATCGTGTTTAGTCCCTGCCACATACTCCGAGGGTTGTCAAACTGTTGCTCCACCCTGTCCCTGTACTCACGTTTGGCTGCTTTGATCGTCTTCCGGAGTTGGTAATGTGCGTGTTTGTAGTCCGATGTGTTCGCGGAGGCAAAGGCGGTGCTCCGTGCCGCGCGAACATCTCCGTTAATCCAGGGTTTTTGATTTGGGAAGGATTTAACTGTTCTGGATGGGACGACATCTTCCACGCATTTCCTGATAAATCCACAGACTGAGTCTGTGTATTCATCAATGTCCCTAGCAGCCACGTGAAACATTTCCCAGTCCGCGTGATCAAAACAGTCCCGCAGCGCAGACTCCGATTGGTCCGTCCAACAGTGCACCGCCCTCCGGGTTGGAGCTTCCTGTTTCAGCTTCTGCCTGTAGGCGGGCAGGAGCAGGATGGAGCGGTGATCTGATTGGCCGAATGGGGCGCGGGGGAGGGCTTTGTACGCATCCCGGAAAGAGGTGTAGCAGTGGTCGAGTAGCCGGTCTCCACGAGTGTTAAAATGGATGTGTTGGTGGAGTTTGGGTGAGACTTTCTTCAGGTTTCCCTTATTAAAGTCTCCGGCTGTGATAAACGCTGCCTCTGGGTGTGCGGTTTCCTCGCTGCTGATCGCGCTGTACAGTTCCCTGAGTGCTCGGTCAGTGTCGGCTTGTGGGGGAATGTAAACAGCCGTAATAATCACTGCTGTAAATTCCCTCGGTAGCCAGAATGGCCGGCACTTAATCATCAGGTACTCCAGGTCCGGTGAGCAGAAGGATTTGACCGGGTGCACGTTCTAATATATATATATATATATATGGACAGAGGGAGAGAGATGTATATGTGTATACTTGATATTTTCTACTCTATTCTACTCTTAACACAGTATCAATCCGGAGTCCAGTACTGACAATAAAGCTGAATTTTGGCTTAAAGTTGAATACTTGAGGAGTTGGGTTCTGTCATATTCCACAGTTTGTATCTCATATTTAGCATCAAATGTTTGTATCTTTGAGTATATTTGACTTCTCTCTCAAAAATGAACCTAACAGTAATCAAGCTAGCTAGCATTAGCTTATAACTAAGCACTCCACCATCTTTTCCGAGTATGCTTACCTCAAGCTCCATGAAACCAACATGGTGATGGTCATAGATCTGCCATTAAATGAGTTCAACGTTGATTGGGTGACAATGTGCATATCCATGTTTTATATACAGTATCGCCTGTCAGCTCAGTTGAAAATTAAGCTATAAGCATTTATTTGATGCATCCTCAATAATCAGCTGTGTAACAAAACATAATGGATCCAGTCATAACTGAAGTCACACAGATTGATAACATGGTGCTTCAAGCTTTGACTTTAATGTTTAAACATGTGATCACAACACGGCAGTTACACAGTATTTTATCATCACTTGTCACACAATTCCTAAGATGCATAAACTCTATTAATCTGTACGGAATGTAAATATTTTATATGGATTAAGCTTTGTTTGCTAAGTTTTTTTATTATCAGAATTTGAGAAAGGAGAAACTCAGTGATCAGTAACTGTTACACAACAGACATGCAATACACACTGAAATAAGAACAAATATAAATCAAATAATTCATATCTTGAGACAAAAAAGGCCATGACTACACAAACCCCCCTCTTCATAAAAACCTCCTGACTGCAACACCTTTACATTCATTCTTACAGTTTCCCTGTTTGTTATAATCACCGATACACTATTAAGAAGTTTTAAGATTATGATGTACACAAAAGTTAAATCAGTGGAAAAAGTTTAAATCTGGACACACACTCTTCCCCCTACCCCATTAAATTAATATGAAGCTGAAGGAGAAGATGCCTTTCAATATTCATTCAAATAGATACACTGTTTTCAACCACCTCTGGATCCATGTATGTGTACGGCAAGTCCAACCTTGAGTTTCTAGCTTTGATGTCTGCACTCAGCTTTTTGAGCTCTTCTTGAAATTCTTTTATCTTCAGGAGAGGAAACCTCTCAGTAAAATGCTTCTCTGGGTAGTTGCCAAGAAAAATCTGATGAGATCAATGGTACATTTAGTTTTGGTTCCACTATCACGTTGATCAAATATGTAACTCTAGCAAAATTTTCATGTATTTTACATTAAAATAAACAAAAAGCAACATAAAACATAACATCTTTGGTGAGTACTTACACTATCAGAGGACTGCTTGCTGAGTAGCCATACTGTGGACATGGCATGCACTGTTGTGTTAACACTGGGGAATGCGTCCAGTATCGTTTTCTCAGTTGTTGTCCCCTTTTCTTTTGGTGGGGGAAGTTCCATGGTAGTAGGACTGTTGGGCATCCAGCCACCAAAATCGTACTGCATTGGTGAAGTAATTGATACATTATTTATAGGCTTTGAGGGATAGTTTTTAGGTCTGATAGCATTAACCTTTGGATCCAAATGTACCAAATATTCCACATGATTTCTAAGGTGTTTCACATCCAGATTTATCCATCAAGTGTAACATCACACGCTGTGCAGTTTTTTCAGTCGCGTTATTCAGCTTCTGCTCAAACTGCACGATTGACTCACAGGGGTTAGAAGTTCGTAGGTCACGATGCAGGGTCTCACACTGTACAGCCCGATGCCCTGATGTGACCTGAGTGCTCACACTGTGCGTCCATAAAATGAAGGTTATAACAGATAATCTGTCGCTCGCTCTCCCTCTCTGTCTTTCACTCACACAGACACGCACCACCACCATCAACTTTGCTAAATTGCTAATGAAAAACATTGATCAGGCAGCTGTGATTGAGCAGCAATGTAAATCCAACTATTTTCACGGTTGTTGTAGTCATGATCATTTTGTGAGGCCAAATCTAAAAGGCTCGGATGCGCTTGCCAAAGTTCTACAAGTTGTGCCTCCATCGCTTATGTCCAGATCACACGCTGCACTGCTGTGCTACTTCGTTTTTTCACTTTCATTTCTGTGTTTGCGCGTCCGCAGTGTGAGAGGCTGTGGTGACACCCTCACGACGGCTGACAGGATTTCAAACTGGTTTGATTTTCTTACGACGAAGCGATTGATGATCGGGAGCTGGTCATGAGGTGTTAATCTCGTTACCCCACGTATACTACACGATGCATGACACACGATGAAGGCGAAACTCAGGTTTCCAATCACCAAAACGGTCGCACGACTGAAAAATCAAAATGAGCCAAAAATTGCACAGTGTATGCCCAGCATAATGGGCTGAAAAATACGTTAACTTCTACCTTCCTTTAGCAAGTGCGGAAGTCCAACTTTTTGTGCAATGATTAGCATGTTTCTCTGCCTTTTGGGTGCTACCACAGGTGCCTTTGATGGTGCAAAATGTCTCGTCGACATTGTTGGGGAGAAAACTTACAAACAAACAGTACAGCACTTCAGAGTCACAGTGTTAGTGATTATATTTGACAAGCTGAATGCATTCTGTACTGGATAGGAGACACAGCACGAGATTTACTGACAATAGTCTACAGACAATCAGGACCCAGACCACAATGCACTTAATATTGCACTTAAAAAAAGCATTTAAATAAAATTAAAAATAAATAAATAAAAAATCTGCGACAACAAGGCCGCAAAAGGTGAACCGCACTACAGTGAGGGACCACTGTACTGAAAACTGATCACATTTTAGCCAAGAGAACATATTTTTATATCCACTGCACAAGGTTAGTGAGTAACATGTTGGTGGCTGGGTGATTTGAATTACTCACTGTGAAAAAAGTCCTGATCTTGAACTTAATGAAATCTTAGTAAATAAATAATTCTTTGCTGATTTGCTCAAATATCTAGTGTCTATAACACCATAAGCCCATGGACTGCAGTGAATTCTAAGTTTTTAAAAAAACAACTTAAAGACAGACTCTTTTCTTTGCTTTTTCTACCAGGCTACAATTTAGTGTTTGATGCTGCTGACTGTAATTCAATTCAATTCAATTTCATTTATATAGCGCCAAATCACAACAAAAGTTGCCTCAAGGCGCTTCATAGATACAGAGAAAAACCCAACAATCATATGACCCCCTATGAGCAAGCACTT